ACCTGGAACAGTGGGAGAAATGCCGGAGTGGTCAAGAAGCCGAGAGACGTCCTAAAGGTCAGGCTGAAAATGGATGATTTATTTACACTTACAACAGTCCGAAGAAATGACTCCAACAGGGTTCTATGACAAAAATGACAGAATTAGCATAGTGAGAAAATAAGGTGACAACGGCACCTTCAATGGCCTTTCCCAAGGAAGCCAGCTTTCTGGAGCAGGCCAACTTCCACAGTGCTAACCACATACAGAGAGCAGTCACATTGGGCCACAAGCTATTTTAATTAGGAAACAGGCTCTGCTGTGGAGAACAACACAGGCAGAGACCTCTTCATTATGGAGCTGTGAAGAAGGTGCATGGAACCCAGAGAGAAGAACCAGAGAGAAGACCCGGCCTGTGTGGCATTCTGGGGAGCATGGAGAGGCAGATTTCTCTGACTCTCGGGGAATCTGTTTCCTAAAAGTTTGGGATACTTTTCCAATAAGAAACACTTCACCCTAACCCGTACAGCATGGTGATGATGATGAATAGACCAGCCTGCACCTTGTTGCTGAAAACAGCAGTGGTGAGGAGTCGGATGAAGAGTTAAAACAATAGCATCTAAAATATTCATGAGCCTTCACCAGCACAGCGAAGTCTCATTAATTTGAGCTAGCTGAGTGGAACTAACACAGGTTTTCTGTGTACTCGGCACTGTGGCAAATACAAACGCTACATTTGATTCCCAAGCGAAAGCCCTTGCTGGCAGTGCTGAGAATGAGTCTCAGGTAGGCCAGGTAGGGACAGACAGAGGGACTGAGACTGAGACAGTGTCCCATCCCCTTTCTTTGAGCTGTCAGATAGGACTGTTTCCCACCTTGCCCTATTTTGGGGGGCACTGAGAAGATGGTTTCTGGACATTCTGTGAACTGAATAGTAACAGTCACATTTAAGGTAGCATGCTAAGTTCTATGCTTTGCAGCGTTTTCTTCTGAAATAAAAGTAATCTAGGGGGTCAGCAGTTTTCTGTGACCTATGAAGCTTAGGCTTCTAACTAAAATATTTTTCTGGGTACAACTTGAGTCCTTGAATAAAGCTTCTGAACAGCTTAACGTTAGCAATTTTCATACAGCTGCTAAGTATGCTAATTGTAAACTAGAACCAACACCTTGTATGTGCTATTCTAAGCACCTCTCGTACATGCATCAGACCAAAATTAGCAGGAGACACAATCTTATCCCCAATTTACAGTGGAGAAAACTGTTAGGATAAAAGTACACATAACTTACATAATGCATCCCAGCAAAGAATCAGGATGGATGATCCACTAGTCTGATACTGGCACCCATGAGCTTAGCAATGATTAAGCATTGCTTTCTATCTTAGTTTTTGGTTAATGGTAGACAATGGAATCTATGAAGAAAGGTATAAACAGAGTAGCTATAGCATACAAATTACTTTCAGGCTATTTGGTCACAAAGTGAATTATGTTTGGATTTATTATAAACAAAAAACTCTCACTGATCAGGACTGAGTAAGGTCAGTAAGTAGCCAGTAGCGAGTAAAATTCTGTTAGCACCTGAAAGAAAGTCAAAGGAGGCAGCATGTAAAATGTGTGCTCTCCTCAAGCTTCCAATCTTGAAATCAATCTTTATAGTTCCACTTATATCAAGACAGAGAGTATAATGTCCTTGAGAGTGTTAAAGTAGGCTTTGTACCTAAAGTGCTTAGCACATCACCTGCAACTTAATGAGTTCCTAATGGTAGCTATTATCAAGTTCAAAATTTAAAATTGCTAAAATAATAATAGCTACATTTTGCATTTTAACATAGCATGAAGCTAAATTAGTTTAAAGATGAAGATCATGATTGACATATCAAAGCAAAAACTATACACCATTATTTTTTCTTTTGTCGTGCAGTGACGAAATAACAAAGGAAACATCAAGACCAGTTACCTAAGTTCTCCAATACTCCTCAGTTCTCTAGGCTGTAGTTAATGAAAAATACTATGTTTAATACCTGTGGCCATTATGGTATGCTATAGGAAGTGAAATTGAATGAGGCTGAAAAGGTTACAGTATTCTATAAATTTTAAAGTAATATATAGGTATAAAGTATTGCTATAGAAAAGCATGATCAGAAGGAAAATTCCAAAGACTATTTATTATAGATTGTGTTTCGAGATCATCAGTTTTCCACACACACACCAATGAATTTTTAATTTGAATTTTGTTTACATTTGTCTCAAAATGACATTTGTTTATTTGAAAATGACATGGCTATAAGGGAAAACATGCTCCTGTATTTTCAAAATCACTGCTACTTTGTATACAGAGCTCTCACTGTCTTGCTGTCCATCTCATGTTGAAATGATGACCTTGGGGCTAGAGAGATGGGTCAGCATTTATGATCACTGGCTGCCTCTACTACGGACCTGTGTTCAGTGCCCAGAAGCCGTGTGTGGCTCACACTCATCTGTAACTCCAGTTCTGTGGGATCTGACAATCTCCTGATTTTGTAGGTTCTGGGCATGTCTGGGGTACCGCACATACACCCAGACAAGGCTTTTATATAAAATCAAATAAATGACATTTTACAAAAACTTTAAGTGGCAACTTTTAGTTGCAGCTAAGTTGGGCTCAGTGTGATTTTACCAATTGGTTAATCTTTTGATTCTTGCCCTGACAATTTCCTGTAATGAGGATAATAAAAATGACCCCATTTTAAGTGTGTATTTCTCTTGGACAGTGAGTTTTTTCATGAAAAAAAAAAAGGCATGCTTTTTGTTTAGTTTTGGTTATGGTTTTTTCGAGACAGGGTTTCTCTGTGTCTTTGGAGGCTGTCCTGGAGCTAGCTCTTGTGGACCAGGCTGGTCTCAAACTCACAGAGATCCACCTGCCTCTGCCTCCCAAGTGCTGGGATTAAAGGCTTGCACCACCACCGCCCGGCAGAAGCCATGTTTCTTAAAATGTTGATGCTAGTTAACGGCATTGGCTTGTTTCACACAGTTTTAACAAACACACATTGACCTATTAGATGAAGAAAATTCAACTTGGTCCTTCCGACTAGCCCTCAGCCATTCTGTTTCTACTGTCTATAATTTCAGCTTAATACCAGTTTTCTTAACCAGCTCTTTTTGCTGTAATTATACTATGGGAACTACTGGAGTGAGGAAGTAGGGGCTGTGGATAATGGTCTAGAAGAAAGAGACATTATCATTTACCTTGCATGCAACTTCAGTCAGGAGAGGTAGAATATGTGGGAAGATATAGTAATCAGTAAAAGATTGCTAGGGCTTGAGGTGTCAGGACAGCATTGTACTGGTAAACACGATGAGCTCTGGGGTTGAGGGAAATGGCATAAACATATTGCGGTTATCTCATTTGACCACAGTTTACAGAAACTGTTTTGAGAGTCATGAATAGCTTCGGTAGTTGACTTCTGAGAGACTTCTGATTTGATTGCCAGTTTGCTTTGTGTAAATGCACCTACTCAGGCTAATTTCAAGCTACTAGTGTCATGGTATCAAACAAACGATGAGGTTATAACTACAGTTGGCATCTATGAGTCAGTGCATCCTGGCTCTGGTTCAACTCTGGGTGAAAGGTGTGATAATTAGAAAAATATCTGCTTTTGTCAGAATATTAAAAATCAAGCACGAATAATGTTCACCATGCATGCAAAAACTGTTGGAACCAAGACCATCTTTTATATTCTTCTACCCTGAGACTAGAGAGTCTCTAAAAAACCTTATCTTCATGATTTACCCTCTGCAGTTTGACCCTCTAATTTGGGAAAATTGCTGTTATTTAACATCTCCCTTGTCTTGGAGAGCTTGCCATCCTCTATGTTCTGGCAATCATAACCTTTGTGTTCCTTATCTCTTTCTTACAAGGCAGTTTCTTTTGTACCTATTTTTAAGAGCATAGCTGCTTTGCTATTCAGTCCTTGTTTTTGCTGGATGAATAAAATTACTTTGCAGGAGATAACATAATGTTTTCTTGACTATTTGAGTATGGGGCTAGAATATTTAATACACAAATGTTGATATTTTTCTAGACATTAGATTTTAATACTGTATACTATCTTCTCTGTAAGACCAGTGAGCCTGGTCTCTGTAAGTGGTGGACATGTTTATGAGACATCCTGGTCACATCTGTGAGTTAGTTGTGGCATCAAAAAGAAGATCCTAATCTCTGACATGTCTGCTATTCTGACCAGGGAGACAAAATTCAAAAGATTATTTCTGCAGGAGGTGAATGTCCTAGACAAAGGCTACTTTATGTTCTTCCTTTGTAACTCTGATTTCATCTGCAGAGACTGACACAGAAAGTGCAATCAAATAACCCAACAGTACCATTCCAGTTTGCTTTTCCTTCTTCCTCAAGGTCACTGTCAGTGAACAGCAGCAATGGGGTCTCCCAGATGGAAGTTCTGTGCTTTTAGTCTAGCACACAAATTTAAATTGTATTTTTCCTTCTCATGCTTTAGCCAACTGAGATAGAGTAAATCCCACTTAAGAGGCTCCCTCCTAGCTCTTAGAAACACACTGAACTTAAAAGGCTGTTCTTTTCTGTAAGCAGTGAGTGTTGTAAAACCATCTGACCTCACAAGAAGGCTGTTTGTGGCACTCCATTAGACCTCAGTCTTCCTGGCTGTGGATACTACATTTAGCCTATCTGATAGAGACAGAGCTTCAAGGAGCAGCCTGGGTTTGCCTCAAGAATAGCATTTCCTCTATGGAAGAAGATGGTGCCTCTCAGACGCAGATGACAGAGGTGGCTTTGCCTGGGACAGTGGAGAAAGGCTGTGGTTTCCCATCCAGGTACTTGTGAACTCAGAATGCATGTAAAGTAAATTAAATGTGCAGAACACCTTAAAGAAAACCATCCTTGAAGGTTTGAGAATAGTTTCCTCTGTTCCCTGAGGAGGCACAATGTTTATTAACAAATATCAGCATTTTTTTTTTTTTTGGTTTTTGGAGACAGGGTTTCTCTGGGTAGCTTTGGGGCCTATCCTGGCACTGGCCCTGGAGACCAGGCTGGCCTCGACCTCACAGAGATCCACCTGCCTCTGTGTCCCGAGTGCTGGGATTAAAGGTGTGAGCCACCAACACCGGCTTATATCAGCATTTTGAAAGCAACCTTTGCAGAGGCCCCCAGCAGGAGGCCTCTCTTATCATTAATCTATTTATCAATAAATAAAGATTCATCAATTTTAGGTAAGTGTGTTTAAAAAAAAAACAAAAAACCAAAAAACACCATTCCTTGAGAACATGCTCAACTTAAGTTTTGAGTGATGAAAAGCTTTGTTAGAGAACTTTCTCTCTGATGAGCTGAAGATGAGGGGGTAAAACTGTTCTCATTCTGCATCCCAGCAATTAAGTGACAATACCCAGGATGACACAGGCTCACGGGGAGGCAGGAGGGAGGAATGTGCTTAATTTTCCAAAGAAGAGTGTCAATAAAGATTCAAAGTCTCACCTCATCCCCTGAGTCACAATGGGGCACATTGGCACAAATGACAGGATTGGCATATGAGAGAGCACTCCAAGTAGTTTTCTCCTGTGTTAAAATTCTTAGGAGCTTTGCAAAAGAACTGCAAAGAAAACCAGCCAAAAGCCCTGAAATCCCAAGGTCAAACACAAGCAGAAGCCTCCTTCATAAAATAAGGAAATGAAGTGGTGAAGCACACTTGCAAAGTGCTTATCTCTCCAGCAGCTGCAACAGCAGTCTGAGCAGCTCCGATTGTTCAAGACCTGGCTCTTTGGTCTTCTCTCTCCAAGATTAACCATGTCAGTCTTTTGAAAACTACAGCAACAAGGGTCTCATTTTCTTGTATTCTTCTTCAGGATGTAGGATTTAAAAGAAAAATTAATGGTGTCACTCAGGGGTAGAAAACTTCCTAAGCATGCGCAGGACCTGGCATTCTGTCCCATCATAGATCACTGCCCTGTTAAAGAAAGATGTTGAGCAAACTAAATTACACAAGGCTTGACATTGTCAAATGCACTGGTTCAAATAAAACATCGCCAGAGACCCCTGTATTTGAATGATTGGTCTCTGGCAGGTGGCACTGTTTTGGGACATGGTAGAAACTTTATGGATCTGAGTTTAGACGAAGGAAGTTGGTTTCTAGGGGCAAGCCTTAAGGTCTGGCTGAGACCCACTACCAGCTCTCTCTTTTTTTCTCTCTGTGGATACAGTGTAAATAGCTACACTATTTCATTGCATGTATTCAGTATAAGCCCAACACAATTTATGTATACATCCATGTCTATTCTAGCATTATTCACAGTAGCTAAATTATAGAAGTAGACCCTACTTCTAACCTATTCCTGTTTCTTCCTTTTTTTTCTTCTGAGTCTTGAAATCTTTTTTTAAAACTTCTTTATTGAATCTTTTAGCATTTTGCATCTCCCATCCCAAACCCACTCATCTCCCTGCCCCCTTGCTTCTGACTTCTGCCCTTGCAACCTCCCCCTGAAACAAAACAAAATTTAAAACTAAAACAAACAAAAAAGAAGAAAACTATCAAACAAAAAGAAAAATGAAAATATAAATCTTGGTGTGGAAGCTGTAGTGTGGCCCAGTGAGTCACACAGTATACCCTTTAGTCCATACATCTTTACTTGTAAGTGTTCCTTGCAGTGAGTCTGGATCGAGGCCTCTGGTTTCTGCTACACTATCAATACTGAACCCTCACTGGGACTATTCTTAGATATCCTGTTGTCGCCTTGTGTCATAGAGGTCTGGTAGCTCTGAATCTGCAGGTCTGGCCCCTTCACATATTCCAGCAGTTCATACATGGGGTGGATGTTGGAGTGGGCTAATTGTAGCCCTGGCAGATGAGCCACTCCAGAGGGTAGGAGAGCAGGAGAGCAGGAGAGCTGATCCTGCCCTTTCCCCATCTGCCCTGTGGTGGCATGAAAAGAGAAAGATGCCTTTCCTCCCTCAGCTATTGTCACCTATGGTGGACAGGAGAACTGGCCCGTGTGTCATGAGAGTGGGAGAGCCGGTTCTGCCCATCACTGGCTGCAGAACATGGGATAGTGAGTCCTGGTGCTTTCTGGGTAACTCTCTAGAGCTAGCCTTGCTGGTGTGAGTGCAGGTGAGCAGACACAAGGGTGTGAGAGGAGAACGACCCCTGTTCCTTGCTGCCTGCTGCATTGGGTAACCCAGCCAGGGCTGTGCTGTAGAACTTGCCTCGGTGGTAACAGTGAGGGAAAAACTGGTAGGCTGGCCAACCCAGACACCACCATTCCTGTTTCTTTATGTCAACTCCCATACCTAGAAATACCTTCTACCTTCGACCTCTGGTGACCCCACAGGGACTCAGGTAGGTGAATCACACTATCCTCCCTGTTCTCCATTATGATCTCTCCACTCTCACCCCAGGGTGGTATCAACCTGCTTACCTGTGCCCCTTCTCCCACCTCAACTCTATTCACTGGAGACTCCAAATTTTGGTTCAGACCCAGGATTTCTCTAGTTCTTTCATCCTTGCCTCTCCAGGTAGTTATTTGCCTCACTGTACCTACTTTGCAGGATCCTTTCTTTTCAACACTCCAATGCTCTGTGGACACCACCTCTAAGTGTGAACAGGATCCCCTTAGCTCTTTTATGAAGGCTTTCTCAGGAAAGGGCCTTCTAGACCACTTCTATTCCTAGACCACCTGTATTCCTTTCTGCCACCCACTGATATACCAGGCAATCCACAGCTACCACACTTTGCTAAAACATAGAGAGAACAGCAGAGATAAAGGAATGGAATATTCCTCCCAACAAAGACAAGACTAGTTCTCAGTACCTAGAGCCACCCTGAACATTCTAACCCCAGGTGCCTAGATACTAGAGCACAAATGCAATCATTAACAGTCAAGACAATATGCTTCTACCAGAACACAATAATCCTACTAGAGTAGACCCAGAAAAGCAATATATCTGAAGTAATTACAGCTGATAAACACTTTCATCAAATTTCCGGATCCAAAATTAACACACACATCAGTAGACTTCCTATATACAAATGAAAAATGGATGAGAAAAAAAATCAGGGGAATGTACCTTTCCCAATATCCCCAAGGAAACAAAATATTTTGAGGTATCTCTAACCAAGTGAGTGAAAGACTGCTATAATAAAAACTTATAGAAATCCAAGAAAGAAACTGAATAAGCTATCAGAAGATGGAAGAACTCCAGAGCTTATGGATCAGTAGGAATAATATAGTGAAAATGGCCTTTCCCACAAAAAGTAATCTACAGATTAAACATAATCTATGTAAAAATTCCACACAAATCTTCATAGAAATTGAAAGAAAAAAATTCAGTTTCATATGAAAAAAATGACTAGATAGCTAAAACAATCCTGAATGATAAAATAATTGCTTAAAGTATCATCATTCCCAATCTCAAGTTGTACTATATGGTAGTAAAAATAGAGTGATGTTGACATAAAAGCAGACATATTGATCAATAAGATCAAGCTGAAGACCAAGACATAGTCCATATATCTATGGACACATGATTTTTGATAAAGAAGCCAGAAATATACATTGAAAAAATACAACATCTTACAAATAGTGCTGGTCAAAATGGATGACTCCATTTAAAATACAAGAGATTCTCATTTATCACACTGCACAAAACTCAACCTCAACATGAGGCCAGATATACTGAATCTTATAGAAGAGAAAGTGATAAGTAGTCTCAAACTCATTCACATAGGAAAAGACATTCTGAACAGGGCAGTGATAGCATAGGCACCAAGAACAACAAGCATAAATGTGACCTCATGAAATTGAGAAGTTCCTGTGTATATTAAAGGACACCATCATTCCAACCAAGCATCAGGCTACAGAATGAGAAAGGGTCTTTAACCAATAACACATTGCACAGAAGGATAATATCTAAATTATATGAAAATGTTAAAGCAAAATCTGAACATCAAGAAAACAAATAATTTAAAAATGGGGTGCAGAACTAAACAGAGAGTTCTCAATGAAACACAAATGCATGAGAAATACTAAGGAATATTTAAATCCTTAATCATCAATGAAATAAAATTCAAAACTACTTTGAGATTTCATCTTACATCAGTCAGAATGACCAAGATCAGTAAAACAGAAACATCTCATCCTGGCGAAGATGTGGAGTAAAGGGAACATTCACCCACTATTAGTGGGAGTGAAAATCTGTACAATCACTGTTAAATTAGTATGTCAGTTCCTCAGAAAGCTGGAAATAGATCTACCTCAAGATCTATACATACCACTCTTGGACATATACCCAAAGGACTCTACATCTTCCTATAGAGACACTTGCTCATTCATGTTCATTACTGCTGTATTCATAAGACCATCAACTGTGAACAGCTAGATGTCCATCAACAGACAATGAAAATGTGGTACCTTTACACAATGGAATACTATTCAGCTGTTACAAAAATAAACAACAAAATATGAAATCATGAAATTCTCAGGTATATGGATGGAGCTAGAAAATAATTCACCTGAGTGTGATAAACCAAAAAATCAAACATGGTATATATTCTTTTATATGTAGATGTTAGATTTTAAGCTTTAAATAGACATGCTAAATCTAGATAACCAAAGAGGTTATATAAGAGACTGGGGAGAGGGAGGAGACAGTCTCCCAAAGAAGAGGGAATAGAATACATAATAATGGAGAGCCAAAGACGAGGCAGGAATAGGAGGATTAAACAGATCCCAGAAGGTAAAGAGGGAGGGAAGGGAGGGAATATACAGAGTGACAGCTAACACTAAGGGCTATTTGAGGTGTTATATGGAAACCTACTACAGTAGATGTTTCTTAAAATATATAGATACACAGAAGAATCCTAAACAGTGTCACTCAGATTTCCTTTCAAAGTGTGCTTAAATTCTCAGCATGAACTGCAAATATGTTTAAATTCTTTTATTTCTTCAGGCATTTTCATTATTCATATTAAACAAGAATAAAAAGTTTATAAAAAAGAAAATGTATGTGCACACATGTTTTATTCATGTATAAAGAAGTACAAAATTATATCAATTTCAAAAAAAATGAAACTAAAGAGCATCATGTAAGCAAAATAAGGAAGACTCAGAAATAGACATACTATGTTTTCCCTTATATATGAGATATACATGATGAAATTAAAAGTAGAATTCTTTGGAGAGGGAAAACATCCCAGCTATAGTTTGGTGGCATATCATTGTTATATGAGAAGAGAGTGAATATAGGGAAAATATGTGTGATACATGTATGAAAATCATTTTGTACAATGAATTCTATATAATAACTCACATATATCATTGTTTCTGTGTATGATTTAAAGGAGTCAAAGGAAACAAAGAAATGTCACCAGACATAGTGGCCTTGGTAGCAAGGGTCTGTCAAAGGAGAAGTAAGGGAAGGACAAATCAGAGCTAGCATTTGCAAAATGGCATGGAGAAGAATGTTCTATAGTCTGAGTTTTATAAAAACAAATCAAAGGTTAACAAAAAGAGAAGCAGGATATAGTTTAAGATAAACTTGAAATCTCTCTGGGGATACTGGATATGAATATGATGACTACAATAAATAATTTTCAACAGGTTCTTGCTTCAGAAAAAATGAGAATATCATTAAAAATAATCTATTGTCTACCCTGTCCACCCCACACACATGCAGTGAATCAGAATATCTGCATCTTCCCAGACAGCAAAGTACCTTATGCAAATGAATCAGATGAAATCACTGTGGAAATTTCAACACTAGTTTCACTAAAGAGTAATGATTCCTTATTCAGGATTCCATATTAAACAAAATAAACACACACACACACACACACACACACACATACACTCATGGTGCTCTGATACATCTATATGCTCAAATTTAACTCCTGAAAGTCAACAGTGCTGCATCTATGACAGTAAAAATCTAGTTCCAAGATTAAAAATATTGTTG